TTTAGATCAAACACATTGAATATTTCTTTGGAACCTGAAGTCACCTCTTCTTCAACATCCGTGCCTGGAAAAGGACTAGCAACACTGGTACAAGACAAATCCATTGCAATCTGACTGTATATATATAGACAACTGTGAAGAATAGCAAGTGGTTGTGCAGGGATGAGTATTGCTTTTTTATGTAGGGAAAAATGAGATTTGAAAGATTATTGTTGCCAAAACACGAGCTAGGTTCCTGAAAATGTCGAGTGGGTGGAGAATGTCACCAAGATTTTTTTTTCATGATATTTAAGGTCCACTCATGGTTATTCACCTTTTCAAACGCATTGAATATTTCTTTGGAACCTGAAGTCACCTCTTCTTCAACAGCTGCACCTGGAGATGGACTAGTAACACTGGCACTAGACAAATCCATAGCAATTTAACTGTATGCGTAGACAACTGGGAAGCCCACTAAGTGGTTATGTAGGGATATGCAGTGCTTTGTTAACTTATATCGGAGAGAATTCAATTTGAAAGATTTCTTCAAGTTTAGATGTATTTTTTTATATATTAATATTTAGTTATTATTTATAATATGTATAAATTGCACAAATTTTAAATACATTATAAAAAATTATAGATTTATAACGAATTAAAAAAAAAACACGAGCCCTGCTAGACCTACTAAGGCTCGAGCCGAAAGCTTGGGCCGAGCTTCATTTTTTTGGCCAAGCGTTGACTCGGGTCCAAAAAAGTTCGGACTTGTTTTGCTCGAGTCGAGCTCGAGCTTTGAGTTTCGGCTCGTGGCTCGGCTCGACGACATGGCTATTGTGGTTTCAATGTGTTCCCAATGCTGGACGAGAAGTCATCCACTAAAATTATTGAATTAGGATCCGCAATGTCACATAATGAACAAAATGGGAAGAAACAGGTGAGAGAAAGTATGAAGTTTGATTTAGACAAACTCGGATATGAAGAATAGAATTTGCATCAACTATTGCGACTCTAAATTAGAAAGAGAATGACTTCATTTATATAGGATTATCAGAGGAAATACGAAAACTTTAAAAAGATCTCCAATTGTGGTGTAAAATAGGTCTGAATTGTAATTTATATCTCCAAAGTGGTCAAAAACCTCTCCAATGAAGAGAAGCAAAGGAAATGCAAACTCATTTTCCGACGGAGCGTAAAAAAAGTGTAAATTTACTTTATATATATTTTGATTTTAGATCAATCAGGATGTAAACGATTATGCAAGAGTTGTTTTGAAAATATCAATTTATACCCAATTTTACACCACCATTGGAGATGCTCTAACCGAAGAACATTGAACATTTTGTTCCACATAATAGTAAAGCTCAGCAGTCAGATTCAAAGCTATCCAACTTTTAAGTTAACCGAGTACACTATCAAAAGTTTCAAAATTAGAAAAGAAAAAGGTTTTCTAACACTAACATCAATCAGTATATATTACACCATAACTGAAGGAAATAAACAAACAAATGTTTCCATCATTAAAATGTCT